ATTTTGACCTTGGAGGGCACGGCTCCAAATTACACGGCTCCTGCTCCTCTGGGCGAGGCAAACCATCACACCGGGTATCTGCTACAATCTGTTCCGCCTTCTCCCCGATCTCCCTTGCACAGTAGAGGACCTTATGCATCACACCTCCTCCACAGCTTACGCTGCACGAGCCGATTTTGTAATGCCACCTGGAAACAACACAGTGGTCAGTGAATGCCTCCAGCTGTCATCCCTGTCTTCCCTGGGTTTTGAAATCCAGCAAGTCTATGGAAGTACACTTAGAGTTTTATTAATGTACACACAGGTACTGACTGGCTAACGTTCGAGAGATCACCCAGCCACCCCAGTAACTGCCGTCTGCAGTGCCTACAAATCCTAAAGAAGGTGCAACTGGCTGTCTTTTAGTTCTCATAGCAGCTATCCCAGATTCTTGGAGCATTTGATTCTAGCTACTTTCCTTGATGCCACGCAGAAACAATACAGCTGGCAAATATGCCACCACCTTTTGCAGTTACGGATTTGTTCCTACTTCCCCAGAGTACTATGGGATCAAGAAGTTTTGAGGTTTTCTCTGGACTCAAACTCAAAAGACTTCACTTAGTTCTGCCGGAGAATATACTGGCTCAGGAAAGACTATCAGTGAGTTTGCCGAGTATGGACCAGTGCTACAGTTTTTGCAGCTGGCTGGCCAGAGCACGCTCTTGCTTTCAGAGCGCAGGAGAGGAAGATATCCATTTGTCTCACACAATGAGGACGGCTAGAATCAACTTCTCCACAAGTCATAGGGCAGGGTTTGTCTCTGCGCTTCACAACTGGAGAGGGAAAGAACAGAGAGGAGGTCTGCCCTGGGACCACAGAACACTTTTTCTATGGGAGAGTAGCTTGATCCTTATGTTGCTGTGTCTCTGGAGAGCTAGACAGAAAGGAAAGACTTCTCATTGGCTTGTTCTTTCCTGGTAACTGCTTTACCTTGGTGGACAGGGATTGAGATTGCAAACTTCCATCCTGCTCTCAGGCTTTGGCACTGGGTGACAATTTTCTTCCTGGGTCTCTTCTTTGGTGTCAAAAGCCACACATACATATTGTAGCTGAGTCTTACCTAAACAAGAGAAGTTCTCTTACTGTATGGCATACACGTAGGAGTTGAAAATAAGCCTATGGTGACAAAAGTAGTATCAGCCACATCGGCGTGTACAAAACGAGCAAACTCTGCCCAAGCCCCAGCGTGCTCATTCCACTCGTTCCCCCCAACTCTGGAACACAGCAGTGGACAGCCAGCTCCTGACCTGTTCCCTGTCTTGAGCCAGGCACCCTTGTCTCTTCTGGACTCAACAAGTTTGTGACTACAGCTACACATGCACCTTGATCTAAAGAGGGGAAAGGCCAGGTCCTCGAGGTTCCTAGGTGCTGAGCTAACACCTGCAGCCAAGTAACGTTTCCCGGCAGCATGGAAAGATCTCACCTTTACCACAGGAAACAGAACACTCTCCAGCCAGAGGGCTCCAGACATACACGGGCTTATTTTCCAGCTGGATATGCCCAAATGACTCAAAAGTCTGCAGCAAGCGTGTGTCTTCCTCCTCAGAACAGAGCAAAAAGAACCAGAAACACATTGGCACCTGCTTCTCACGCAGGTCCTAATCTACTCAAGCCAGGTGGATGTCTCTAGAACAAGCCTACGACATATCCTCTGTCACTGAAGAAAGAGGCATCTTTAAACAGTTTCTCCATTTTTGCAGGACATATAAGTATTAGGAATAGCTAAAGATCTCTAGCAGCGAAGATCTCTCCTAATCCACACTGCTTGAGGCTGAAAAGAGATACCTCAGACTGAAGAGAGATGACTAAAGCACACCCCTGCCAATTTGTGAATGTAAATCATGGGAGTGGCTCCAAAGTACATTTGGGCTTGTGATCTAGATTTGAAAAACTCTCTTCCCTGTTAATAATCCTCCCTATCATGTCAAGACCTCTTTGTTGGACAGGGAGGTATATACCAGGGGAACAGAAGGTATTTCTTTTTCTAGTTTCGTTGGACTCTGAGGAGTCCAAACCACCACTAAAAGCTGAAGAATCCTGCAGCATAAATTAAGAGGGACAGAACTTTCTAAACTGACACCATGAGCGCTTAACTGGACAGACATCCTCTGGGTAAAACACCCTCCCGGATTCCAGCAATAAGATGGTTCTTCCTAACTGATAGCCTCCTGCAGATCACAACTGCAGAGTTCCCAGTGAGACTCTTGAAACAATCCAAGCCAATAAACTCACTTTATCCCAGCCTAAAGGGCAGACATTAACCACGCACGGCACGATGGAGAGGGGTTTTTCTTCCGCTGGGCATAAGCTGTCATCCACAACAGTCTCCAGTCCATCACGAGACTGAACACAGGTCAGATTCTGCTGGGCAACTCCGGTTCCACAGACGGCAGAGCATTCATCTATTTCAGATTTCTTCCACCTAAATAGGAAGTAATTGTATCACCCAGTTTCTTACCTGAACCATGGAGGTTTATTACTCACGCCACTGACTGTGAAATGGGATGCAGAAAGTATTCAGCCTCTCTTTTTCAGAACCTAACCTGGATGTGATCAAGAGAACCACTACCGGAAACTTAAGTCCTCGCACTGACACCTCTCTAGCACTGGGAGCACCTAAGCTAAAGAACTAACGTTCACAGTGTGATCACTTTTTATTAAATACTAAAATGTCGATGAGATCAGTGTCTGGACAGGTTTGGCTCTCCGTTCTCTTTCCAGTCTAATTAACAAAAGGACCTCCTCCAGAATAAGATCACATCTCCACTGGCACAATCTTGGAAAAGATGTGAGCAGACATCTCCTGGCCATGCCCCCAAAGTATTTGAGCTTTATTTTTATTTAGCAGACTATAAAGAATTGCAAGAACTGTCTCCCATTAATTCAGCTGATGTTTGAATTAACTCATGGGACCAGGTAAGGCAGAGTCTGGTTTGTAGTTATGAAGACATTAGCTCCCTTTTTTTCATCTTGCACAACGCAAGCCAAACAGCAGAAACTGGATTAGTTGCCAGATACTGCTCTCCAGAGCGAAATGAGAATTCGGCGTAGTCGCCAAGGAACACCAACCTGTACAGACATGGTCCCACAGCACAGGGCTCCTGCTCTGAAAGGGGCTGCAGGAGGCCCAGACACTGCTGGTCCTCTGTTGTTTCATTCTTTGTCCGGTCAAAGCACACATGATCCACCAGGCGAGTCCCTGGGAATGCAAGCACAATCAAAGGGAAAGGAAAGGATGTTCTAAACCAAGTGAACAGTTTGCCTTTATTTTTCCGGGAAGATGTTGTAATTTCCCTTTAACCTAACTATTCCTGTAGGAAAAACGGTATATTTGGGAATGCAGAGTTTCTACAAACATACACAAGCCGTATTTCTAATATAGGTTTCCTCAAGAGTTTGAAGGTGCCCCAAGATGAGCAACCCCGAAGAGGAGAAATTTGATGGATAATCCACCATTAAGACGGAAAGATTGCTCTAAATTGGTCATTTGTAAGAACAGCAAGGATATCAATCATAATTTGTTCAAAATCACTTCTGTTGGACTTGATGTCTGACTGATGAGGAACAGGCCGCTGACAATAAGCCCTAGCAGCCAGCCATTTTCAAATGACTTTTTCTGTTGAAATAACCATTATCACATGGCCCTGGTACCGTGCATCTTGTACTAAGATCATCACACAGCCCTTGCATCCAGACAACACCGTGCCAATGTCCACAAAGTGATCATCGATACCCAGAAGCACACTAGGGGTAGCGGGAGAGGAATTGCAGACTTACATTTCTCTTATATACCACAGGCAATGTAATATTCATAAACTACAGATATGAACAAGAATTCTAATAACACTGAACCTAGAAGGGTGCCCAATTCAGAGTAAACTTGCTCTAGATTTGTGGAAAGGCATTACGACGAGTTTAACAGGTAAGGTGAGTGAAGAATCCAAACTTTTTAAAGTTGTGAGCAAAGCTGCAAAGCTTCTCCTTTGCAGTGAATGAGCTGCCCAAAAGGAGAGAGAAACTTTCCTGAATCTCAAAGAGCATGACCCTGAGGAGCAAATGTCAAGAATCAAACAGTAATGTTACCTTTTCACTACCCTCCGTATTTTTCAAATAATGCCTATTGGTAAGGTGGCCTGAGCATCGCTTTCAGGTCTCAAACTGCAATTTCAGCTCTGATTCTCAACCTCCTCTGCTATTTTATGTCTCATCTTTCTCATTTTTCCGTTTGTGACTGTGCATTATTTGGGATGCCTTGCAGCATTTTGAATTCTGCAATTTGAGATTTCAACAGTCAGTTCACCTGGGGAATCTGTGGAAAAAAGCTCTCCAGACATAGCTAGTCTGGTAGATTGACTTCCATAACTATTCATTAGGGTATTTTCTAAATTCTTGTCATAAAGGTCTTGAGCGGTTTGCTATCCTCTTTTGTATTATCTCATAAACAAGCTGCCAAATGTCTATCAAAGTGTTCTGTTACAATCTGCATTATGATTTCTACATGGGGACAGAAAGGATTAACCCTGGCGCAGGAACAGATTTCTAAGAAGGAAGCTTTATAATGAGCTCTAAGGCTTTAATTAGACACTAGATACTAGTTTGGGCTCAGACTTTTGCCGTTTAACCAATTGCAAACTACCAGCTTCACTAACTTTGAAAAAACTAAGAAAATCATTTAATCTTAAAGCCAAAAGGTTGTTAAAAACAATTTTTTAAATTCTTCTTAAGATCAAACATTTTCAGTATTATTTTGATGATTCAACTGATTTGCTGGTTTAATTCAACACCTGTACTCCTCTTTTCCTTGGTCCAGCTTAACATTAGCAAATGTAGCTCACTTTTAGCAATTTGCTTTTAAATTCAGCTCAGTTGTTTTAACAGCTTCTCTAACCAAGGAGCTATCACTAACAAATCACATTTCTCTCAGTGAACACCAGAAGACCCCAAGGGCTGAAGATCCGGGTGACTACTGGCCAGCCAAACTAAACGTTTATCCAGATGTCTGCAAGGATTAAAGACTGAGCACTTCTGCCTCACCTTCTCCACAGGTCACTGAGCATTGCCCCTTCTGAGGAATCCACATATATGTCAGATTCTCTTTTGGCACAAAATAGCTGAAGGTGATATCTGGGTTGGTGGCATTGCCGTATTCTTTTGCATACCTTCTATAGACCTGGTGAAGGAAAAGGACATGGTCAATACACAGATCAACTCAGACTCATGTTTAAGGACAGAGCTAAGACAGCAAGTTAGTCCCCCTCTTCCAGTCAGTCCTGAGCCTCAAAGCTATGACTCTCAGTTCTTCCCTGAGGTAGGAAGAATATTCAGCCAGTGAATTCTGTGTACAGGGCACTGAACAAAGACTGCGCCAAGCAAGAGATTTAACTCAGTACAGCTTTTCCCCACACAGCCATCACCTTAGGCCTGCAGAAAGCTTGTACATAGCATACCCTCAACCTTTCCCAAGAAGAGGAAGATCATCACTCTTAGTGAACACCACCTCCAGTGGCCTTGGACATGAAGCCTTCTACACCTGGATTCTGCTCTGCAACAGAGCCACATGAACACAGCCTTGCCAGTTCTGAACGAGCCCTTTCCAACTCTGCTACGTTAATTTACCTGTATCTCAATTTCCTCTTGCGTTGGCCCATCCACATGGACTTCCTCTAGGCTTGGCAGGTTGCTCTTGGTGAGAAACACTTTGTATTTGATCTGGCTGTCCTCCAGAACAGATGGATAGGTGACATTCAATGAGATTTTTCCCTTTCCAGCAACAACATACTCACCTTTAACTTTCACAGCTAGAGGAGCAAAAATAGCAGTGAGGTAAAGAGCTATGATGCACTCACAGAATCCCCTAGTGCTGGCAGCTCCAGACTGCCCATTCCCTAGAAACTGGTCTGATCTATATTAGACATCCCAAAGAGCAAGGCTTCTACCAGTTCCCACTGGAGAGCATCCCACAAACAAACAAACTGCTCATCAAGAACTTTCCTCCCAATACTATTTCCTTGTTTTTAGTGCATGTTTTAGCACTGCCGGTAGCCCCTCCTCTCCTTTCCATTTTATTCACCCAAATGCAGAAATGTAACATACTCTGGAAGGACGGAAAGAAAGAAGACATGGTTACCTTCTCTTACTGGGCCTCTTTTAAAAAGGCAGGGGATCACAGATCAACCCCACTTCACCTTATCAGCAAACCATCCTTTGGGGGACAAGCCTTATGGACAGTAACAGAGCTTCATTGCAGGCAGGAACTATACAGCTAATTAAAAAAGTAAGGATGCAACACTGATACCCAGCGGGCTAAATTCACCCTGAAAAAAAAACGAACTGAATTCTACGACCTGTTCTCATCTTTCTTTTATTTTCTTTATGTCCTCTGCTAACAGCTATGTGTGATCACTACAAGAGCCAGATCACTCCCCAAATGCAGCAGCATCTTCTACAACCAGCATCATAATATCAAGCCTGGGGCTGAGGACTACACACCTTTAGTTTTTCCTTCTGTGTAAGATCCACTCACTTTGGTGCATGTGGTATTATCACCCCCACAGACCTTACAAGAGTCCATTATCTTCTTGGAGTCCATCTGACCATCACACCCAAATGCCTGAGCAAAAGGGAGAGTCTGTCAAGACTGGCCTATTCTGAGAAGAAAACAAGCACATCAAAGCAACACTGCCTGAATTCCTTAAACTGCCCTTTTCATTTGAAGTTGGAATTTAAGACGACAACACAGACAAAGGTGCATTTGTACCCAGATCTACCACTGAACAGCAGTACACAAAGCTAGGGACTGGAAAGTCTTAACTGACAGTACAAAAGGTTTCATTAATTGTACGATTATCTATTTTCCCAAAAGAAGCGGTCCAGAAAGATTTTTCCTGTGACCTAAAACAAAGGTCAGGCACTCCCTCTCTTCTATGGACTCCTTCTGGAGGGAAAAAAAAAAAAAGCCCAAGAGAACAGTAAACATGAACGGCAGTTTCTAAGGAATTCTTCGTTCCCTAACCCTCAAATCCACACCCAGCTCACATCTTTCAACTGGGCCTTCAACACCATGGAGCTCAGAAAAGCGATTCTATCCTCACTCCAATGGACAAGACTGCTTTACCCAAAGCCATATGAGGATCTCAGCAGCAAAACACGCGCAATTTCTGAGTTTATGCTAGAGGTGCTGATCCCAGGCTTTAGATACTGTTGTAACATACATATTTATTACCATTGCCAATGGAACAGCAGAAATCGGAGCAGATTATGCCCACGCCCTCTGCCGTTCATTTGGTGGAAATGAATTACAAAGCGCTGTGAACACCACACCAGAAGACTCAGAAAACCACAAATTTAAAAAGTGTATTCTGGGAATGTAAAGAAACAGTAGATAGAAGATAATGGGATCCGCACTGAGCAGTTACTAAAATATGGACATCAGTGGGTAGTTAAATCTAAGTTCATCATGAAAGAATACCTTCCTCATGTTGAAACCAGGAACGATTGTTTTATTTCCATGTTGACGGTGGTTCCAACAAATCCGCTTGTGGAGTTACAGTTCCCAAGTTTTACTCCTTATTTTGCCACTGACACAATATATTCAAATCATGTAACCTCTCTCCAAAAGAGTCAGCATTTTCCAGGGCTATTTATACTACGCAAGCAGAACAGCTAACAGCCTCTCTTCAGTCAAGGCATAAACCAATTGCTGCACGGATTAGGGATGAATAGCCTCATGCACTTACTGTATAATGAGCAGAATACCTTATCTAGAGGGCGTTGGCACTGGATGCACAGACAGAACACTAGATTAGCTGGACTAGTTCCAATAAGCTAAGAAGAAAACTCTCTTCTTTTGAGAAGAGCTTGCTCTGCTGCTTGGGACACAGTGTGTTTTTCTTCCCCTGCTCCTAAAAGTTGACTTCTTTAGTGGAGGTTACGCGTCTGAGGTTCACCGGGATCCCATAGTCAACTTACTTTGCAGCTTCCCATTACACACAGATGGAAAGCCCCAAGGAGTTCAGAGTTATCCTGCTCGCATCTGGTTCCATCTATGAAACTATCTTCACGGCTTACCATAAATTCTTTTCCAACTGCTCTGCACATGTGCTTGCACAGCAAGTCTCCTGGAGGAGACAGACAGGAGGAGACAATTGAATTACTCAATCAGAAAGGCACATGGCTGACCATCAGACAACAGGAAGAAGTCAAAAGGATCTCACAAAAAGAGCATGAAGGTTTCACCTGGAAACTAAAACCACTGAAATGGCCTTTAGATTTTACAGTACAGTCAGGGCCACGGAGCACTCTCCCTCAGAAAGACACCACGCAGTCTCAGTCTTTCCTTACCTTTGGCAAAGCCAACAGCAGAAGTCCAGGTATAAAAGGATGGCGCTTCTACAGCGAGATCCAGTGGCTTTACATTTGTTGCTGCGCATTGCTCAGCCATAAAGTCCAGCTGGGTCATCAAACAGGCCTGCATCCCAGTGAGAATTGAATGGGGAATGAAAAGTTACTTAGCACAGAGCCCCAAGCAGCACTTCACCCACTAGCTAAAGGCAGCCAACTCTGGAGCAGAAAGCAGTGGCTAGTAAGCAAAACAACTGCAGAACTATTGAAAATAAAGACTATCACATCAAAGTGAAGCTGCATGGTATGCAGAGAATTCTGTTTGGAAGCTGCTATCTTTGCTATTTATACAAAATAAATGGACATGGAAAAATAGGAGCAATACAAAAATACCCCTCTAAAGCAAGCTAGCATTAAATGGAGTCCTGTTCTCAGTGTCTATCCAGAAAATTCTTCGTTACACATGAAAAATGCTGTTAAAGAACACTGTTATCCTTGAGTGGAACAAATATCTCTTCTGTTGTCACACAGGCGGAGGCTGCGTGTCAAATCTTAGATCTCCTTCCCAGAGCAATCAGCTGTGAAAAGCATGGTCCCAAACCATACAGCTCTCAAAGGGTTAAACAGCACTAAGTACAAAGCTCAGAAGATGCAAGTAGCTCCACTACCTGGGTATTGCACATCTCCACTTGGACGCCAGCTCCTTGGCACTCTTGCCCCCCAAAAGCAGGCCTGGAAGTAACAAGAACAGGACTCTACAGAGGCAGGTTCATCACAAGCAAAGAGCAATACTCCCTTGGCCTAGAGGCCTTGCAAACGCCACAGGTCCCCACCTCCTTACCTGGGGTTGTTGCAGAACCGCTGCCTTATCACAACTCCACCTCCACAGCTGCGGGAGCAGGAGGAGAAGGGGCTCCAGCTGGACCACTGCCCATGCACGACAGCCATGGGGGTCAGTTCTTCCAGAGAGCTGCACCGTCCCTTGAAGCACCACTAAGATCAAGAATACACAAAATCAGGAGCAGCACCACACTGACCTCGGAAAGACTAGGCTCCACAGGGGTGCACAGATCCCCACCTCTTGCCAGACCAAGCTATAACAGGGAACCCACGATGAATGAGGCACTTTCTCATAGGAGAATGGGCCTCACAGGACCCATTCCTAACTATGGTCTACCATGGGCTTACACTTAAAACAAAGAACTGATAGGTCATTTCAAGTAGAAAGCACAGCCTTGAAGGAGGGCTCAGATATCGGGCTACGGGACTGCAAAGCAACTCCAGATATACAGGCAAGGTGGAAACATCAAGATCAAGCTGGTATGAGTTTGTGCCTTGAGTGTCTGACCTTAGTTCCATGGCTGAGGGACAGTGAGTCTCGCGTACCCTCCAGCCACTGGCCATGGCTCGCTGTCTACGGAGCTCCAGGGCCTCCACACCCATTTCTGATCCGCAGAGCATCAGCAGCCTCCTTACCTTATTGATTCCACAATCAGTACCATCCAAGAGGGGAACAAAAAGCCGAGTGCAGCTGGATTTGTCTCCTGGTTGTACATGGCATGAGAGAACATTACATATATCCTGGTGTGGCAAGAAGAAGGGTATTCAGGAAGTCATTCAGGCTCATCAACCCAGTGCCCCAAAAACTGCTCAGTTTAAACTGTGCATGTCCCAGATGCTTGGTTTCCCCACAGCTACCCAACAATGCAGGGCAAGTTCCTTAATTTCTCCTGTCATGGGGCAAGAGTTGTGAGCCTTGCAAAAGACGGGCGCTGCCAGATGTAACACTAGAAGAGGATCAGCTGAAGCAGTCGAAGTTTCACTCAGATTAGCGCTTCCTCCTTAACAAGCATATTCAGATGGCAGCTATTAGCCATGCTACGTTTCTCAGACTTGCAGAAGGCGGGGAAGCCTAGAGAATCCAACGAACAAGAGCTCTCCAAGAGAGGACCCAAGACTTGCCCAAATAGGTGTGCCCAGTACTAGCACTCCCAGATCCCTGTTTGGACAAAAGGTTCTGGGTACGGTCACGGTGCAGATCTTAAAGACGACTTGTGTGGACAAAGGAGGTAATGGAGACAAGAAGGAAAGCTTTTTAAAAGCCTTTTAAGGTTTGTTCTTTGCCAAGAATCTGAGGCAGAAGAGTATCTTCAATCCCTTTATACTAACAGTGTCCCCTCTCCCTGAATCCTGGCTCCAGAACATTTCCCTGCTGCCCTCAGAAAGACAGACAGAAACTTTCTACCTACAACGTTGCTGTCAGCAAAGGTGCATGCTGTAGCGACATTCCCAAAGGCTATTTTACATTGTTCATCTGCTCCATAATACAAGCCAGGCTTCCACCCAGGGATGCTGCCGTCCGTGTCCGGCAGGTCATTTAAGCAGTTTGTTTGGCCTGTGCTGATAGAGACACAAGAAATATAACTTTCCCAGCTGTGGGCAATAAGGACAGTGACATGTTTGCAAACTTCTGCTGAGCTTCATTCTGGGAGTAGGCTGTTGCTTTCCCAGACAACACATGCTTACAGAGGGCTGTGATGGATTTAGCTGCAGCAATTAAAAATGTCACTGCCTGGAGACGCTCACAGTTCCCTTCTGCTGAAGTTATAACAGAAACCCATGCCTGTTCCTCACCCAGCCTGTTCACAGCCTACAATGCTTGTTTAAACCCAAATGCCCTGACATTTTAAATAAATTTTCCAGGCTGACCTAGTGTCTGCAGCGTCAAACGCGGCCCCAGCATGTTAGCCACCGACCAAAGTAATTTCCAGTTACTTGAAGGAAAGTCTGGCTTTAACTTCAACAAAAGACACAAGTGATGTGCAATTAACAAACCCAGTTCCTTATTCACAGTTCCTTATTTTCCAAGAACCTCCTATTTCATTCCTTGTCTTTCCCTTCTCTCTCCTGAGCTCCCAACGTGTGGAAACGCTCCCATACATGCACACAAGCACAAGTCAACCATTCACTTACTTGACAAAGGCCAGAAACTCTTCCTGGCTACAGGGTGACCAGGTAAGGTCAATACTGTTGTGGCTTTCTCCTGCACCCATGATGTAACCACCCGTA